AGATAGATAGATAGATAGATAGATAGATAGATAGATAGATAGATAGAAAGAATACTTTATTGGCCAAGTGTGATTGGACACACAAGGAATTTGTCTTGGTGTAAATACTTTCAGTATACATAAAGAAAAGGTAGATTCGTTAAGAATCAAGAATCATAACGTACAACACTTAATGATAGTCATAGGGTACAATCAACAATCAAATCATACTAGGAAACAGTCAATATAAATCATACAGATACAAGCAACAAAGTTACAGTCCTACAGTCACAAGTGGGAGGAGATGGGTGATAAGGAGTGATGAGTTGTTTAAGAGTAATAGTAGTGCAGACTTTGTAATAGTTGAACAGTGTTGAGGGAATTATTTGTTTAACAGAGTGATGGCTTTTGGGAAAAAAACTGTCCTTGTGTCTAGTTGTTCTGGTATACAGTGCTCTATAGCACCATTTTGAGAGTAGGAGTTGAAAGTTTATGTCCAGGATGTGAGGGGTTTGTAAATATTTTCACAGCCCTCTTTTTTGCTCGTGCAGTATACAGGTCATCGATTGAAGGCAGGTGTCTGTTTGGAGTTACAACGGCACTGAAAAAAGTGACTTAATTGTTTTTCACATTTACCGACCATTGTGGCATATATATGCTCACATGATCAAAATTCAAATGCTTGGCAACTGATCATACTTATGACGATTGCAGTGCCCTGGGGTCATGTGATCACCTTTTATGATCTTCTGACAAGCAAAGTGAATGCAGAATCCAGATTCACTTAATAACTGTATTACTAACTTAACTGCACTGAACAACTGCAGCAAGGAAGTCATAAAATGGGGCAAAGCTCACTTAACAACTGTTCCACTTAGCAACAGAAATGTTGGGTCAATTGTGATTGAAAGTCAAGGACTACCTGTGGTATCCATCAGTTTAACTGAAATATAACTGAAAAATCCAGTAAATAACCCCTAGGGTTTATTTTTTAAAAGAGTGCTATTTTTTAGCTTCCTTTCATTCCTGTTGTAGTTCCCATCCTGAGCAGAATCATCCAATCATAGATAAAGAAGCACGCATCCATTGTGTTCCTAATGAACTCATGAATTACTGTACAGTATAACAAGTTTTGCAAGGGGGTTGAATCAACATGAGGATATAATCACTCATTACATGGCCATTTAATTTCACTTATCACATTAGTAAATGCATTGAGTTTTGAATCTGCAAAAGCTTATCATAACCATTCTCTATTTGGAAAGAAAAGGTAATCACCCCCTGCCCCTCCAAAAAGAAGAAGACCAGCAGTTTTTTATACCTTTTTTTTAAAAAAATGCATATATATATATATATATATATAT